TGCTGTTATTGCAGTAATTATTTGTAACAAAAAGGCAACATTATGTTTTACAGTCTTAATGCGTATCAAAAATTTATTAGTATTATTTTTGAAAATACTTTTTTCTTTCTCCTAAATTTACTCCTTCAAACTTTTAATTTTATTGTAATGAAGTAATGGGAATGATGACCAGGAAGTACATAAAAAAGATGTTGTTTGTTTTGCTGATATTAATGCTGACAAAGCCGATGTTGCACATAACATTTGTTGTTGCACTTCCTAATATTATTTGCTATTAGAAAAAAGTTATCGTCATAAAAAAAAAATTGTTGTTTCTGCTGCAACAGCAGCATCAGCAATTGCTGCAAAATGGTAAAATTGTAAATATTCATAAGGTTGGTAAAAGCAATATGAAAATTGTCTGTGACGAAAACGACAAAAAAAAAATTAGTAATTCAAAAAAAAAATAGAATATAAGCTTTATTTAACACTTTGAAGCCGTGACATAATCACTATAGTTTTGCTGTTTCATATTATCATTTTCTGTTCTGTTCTTCTCAACTATTCTCAGTGAATCATCATTCGAATGTGAGAATCAAAAAAATGAAACTGAAAAAAAAAGGAAGTATGAAAGTTGAAAATAGTCAAAAAGAAATCCTAATAATGGTTTAATAAAAAAATAATTACAGTATTAATACCGTTTTTTTTTTGCTGGTAATAATGGTAATTACTGTTGTTGCATAACATAGTTTTATTTTCTGTTGCCATTTGAATTTCGATTTCCAATGGCTTTTCTTGATCACAGTCACTGTAAACATCAGTTTTATTACTGGTCAGCAGTACAAAAAATAGAAAAAGAAAAAATTTGGCATTCAGTTAGTAAAATCATTTTATTGTTCTCGCCTAACCTTTATTTCTTTTGCAAAAGAAAGAGAAAAAAGAAGGAAAAAAAGACAAAACAAAAGAGAGAACGATGTTGTCAAACGATGTAACGTAATATGTAACAGTTTGTTTCCACTTTTCTCTTAACCACTGCCTTAGGTTCTTGCTGTTGCCTTTTTTTTTGGTTAATTTTTCTAGTGTTTATGGTAGTTTATAATTTATGCAACTAAATTGTAGATTTTCTTTTGTTGCTCTTTAAATTCTAATGATTTGTTGCATAATTCTAACATATTGATATGTTTATTTTGTCAGAGTAGCTAACAGTTACCTATTTAATGGTTATATTACCAACTGAAACCAAAAACATGAGTAATCTTCTAATTTTTTGTCTCTTTTCGTTTCTCGTTCTCTTTTTTCTTTTTCCATCACATAGCAAAATGTGAGAAAAAAAAAATTGAGTTTTACAGAGAAATTCATTTGCACTTCTGTCTAATTATTTGGTTTTAATTTTATATCTTTCTTACAGCAGCATTTGTTCTAACTTTCAAAGTTTTATTTTGTTTCCTTTCTAATTTTCTTTATTTTGATTTTTTGTTTTTTTTTTTGGTTTTATATGTATGACGTCAGCTAAAAAAGCTTTATTGCTTGTTTGCTAAACTTTTTTTATTTACTTTTTAAGACTTTATGCTTCTATAAATAAAAAACCTATGCAGTTTAATCTGAAAGAAAGAAGTTTCCTGGAGGTGGTAGTTTTATTGTTGTCCGTCTCAACCGAACCGCAAATTTGAGCATCAGATTTGTTCTTTGTGTCTTTCTACGCTTTTCATTTATCTGCTTCCTCTAGATGCCCTTAGTTTAGCGATTATGTACTCCTGAAGCTTGGTTGTTCTTGTCACTGTTTTTCACTGCTTGCAAAAGTGGCAATTTCGGAAGCAAAAGAATAAATGATATGAGTGGATAGATAATGATGGCTAGACAAAAGGAAACTGATAGAGGAGGGCTGCTTAGGGAAAAGGAAGTGTGTAGTAATTTGTAGCATGCTAGAATTTAATTTATTTTTACGTTCTCACAAATGGTTTAATTATTTTTCTTCAGTTCTTCCTTTCATCTCTGCTTAAATTTTTTACTTTTTCACCGCCCTCTTAAAAGCTAAAATGATTTTTCTTATACATATTTATATCTTTTTCTTCTATATAATCAATTCCTGAACTTGTTAGAGAAAAAAAAGTAATGCCAGTTAAGTCCGGAAATTGTATTTCGCTGGAGGAGGCCCATAACACACTTATGCATTAAATCAAAA